TTTTTCCAGAAAACGACTGAATTTAAGCCTACAGCTTAAAACTTGATTTCTATGCTTGTAATTTGTAAAAAATAAAATAAAACCTTTAAGGAAACAGCACTTTTCAAAAAAATTAAATAAAAATGGAGTCAGGGCGGAAATGCTACAAATTTTTTATTATTTGAAGATTTAGAATTGTAGATATCGGGTATTTTAACATTCTCAAGCTTTGTTTCTTTTGTTATAACTTTTTTTTATATGTTATCTACTGTTTTCTCTTTGTACCATGGAACAAAAATTTGACTCTTTGATAAGAAAACAGCACTGATTTTTAAAAAAATTGTTAAGTTTTATTTTATACTGTCTGAAGGAAATAGAATCAAAAGTTTTAGTTTATTGAAATAAAAATCGTAATTTTATAATTGTGTGGACAAGTTTTTTTTTAATTTTGAAGTCTGATTTATAATCTTTAAAAATAACAATTTTGAAGTAATCATGACGAAAAAATTTTTTTAATTTTTTTTATACCTTGTCTAGTCTATGCTTGTACTTTGGAATATGAAATCGAAATCTTTCAGGAAATAGCACTAGTTTAAAATAAATTAAATAATAGAGTCAGGGAAAAATGCTTTTTTTTTGAAGATAGAATTTTGTTCTAAGACTTTTAATTTCATTATATCTGAATTAAAAAATTAAATAAAAACTTTGCTACATTAAAATTTGAGTTATTTAAGTAAGCACAAATTTTCAAAAAAAATTAAAAAAAAAAGAGTCAAGACGGAAATGCCACAATTTTTTTAACATTTGGAGGTTCTAAATTTTTATTTCACAATATCTGAATGATTAAAAGCGAAATAAAAACTTCAGCACATTGACATAAAGTCGCTATTTTGTGGTAATGGACGTGGTTTTGAAAATTTCCAAGGTTTAAAAATAATGCTTTTGAACTAATTTTTAAGGAAATCATCATATCAAAAAAGAACCAAGATTTCTTTACCTTTTAGAATATCGGATATTTTAACATACCCTTTATTTTTTTCTATTATAATTTCTTTTATTTTTTATCTACTTTTTTCTATGCAATAAAAATTTATAATCATTAAGGGAAGCACAGATTTTTTTTTCAGTTATTTTGTATTATTTGAAGTTTTGTAACTTTGTTGTAAGTAAAAAATCTATAATTATTCTTCTTCTGATGTGTTTTAGGACATTGGGGTGTCCAAAGATCTGAACGAGCAATTCAAAAGTCATCTGTTAAACTCAAACGAAACCCTAGACATAGATTTTAGTATTCAAGTGTTATCTTCCGGATCATGGCCTTTCCAACAATCTTTCACTTTTGGATTACCGACTGAGGTACGAACTGTAATTTTATGTAATATTGTTAATAAATTTGTTTTTTGTAGCTTGAAAGAAGTGTTCATAGATTTACAAATTTCTATTCCGGTCAACATTCGGGCCGGAAATTAAATTGGCTGTATAACATGTCGAAAGGCGAGTTACACACGAACTGTTTCAAAAATAGATACACACTCCAAGCTAGTACGTTTCAAATGGCTGTGCTGCTCCAATTCAACGTGGCTGAAAATTGGACAATAGCTCAACTCGAGGAGAATACCCAAATCAAAACAGATTTCCTAATACAGGTCATACAGATATTACTTAAAGCGAAACTAATCACTTGCGATGACGACGAGAACGAGCTCACGCCCCACTCGATTGTGAATCTTTTTCTAGGATATAAAAAGTGAGTTTAGTGGGGGTGGTTCCCCGATTTGATTGATTTTTTTTTCTTTTCTAGTAAAAAACTTCGAGTAAATATCAATATTCCAATGAAGACCGAGCTGAAGATGGAGCAAGAAACGACTCATAAACATATTGAAGAAGACAGGAAATTGCTGATTCAAGCAGCGATTGTGAGAATCATGAAAATGAGGAAAATTCTGAAACATCAACAATTGGTGGCTGAAGTTTTGAATCAGTTGTCGTCGAGGTTTAAGCCTCGAGTTCACATCATCAAGGTGAGGGTTTTTCTTGGGGTTTTTGTGTCTAATTTTTTTTTTTTGCAGAAATGCATAGACATCTTGATTGAGAAGGAGTATCTGGAGAGGACTGAAGGCCAGAAAGACACCTACAGTTACTTGGCATGATTCAGCAAACGCAACTGTCATCCAATGTCTGTCTTTGATTAACTACCAGCGTGAGTCAACGAGTGGATTGTATATTGTAAATATTCGAAAAATAAATTGTACTTTAAGTGATATGCTATACTAAAATACACAATTGTATTTATGTTTTGGTTGAAATTGTCCTAGAACTGTCATCTACAAGCGATATTCCTTTGAAATTCTGTTTTATTTCTGCTTTTACTTTATTAATTGTATAGAATCTGTTTATTTGTATTACTATGTGAAAAGAATACGAATGTAATTTAATTCACCGATTTTAAATAAATTGTTTTGACAACTTTTTTATTTACTGCGGGTTTGGGTGTAAATGCACCTTTAGCCGATTTGACCAATCAGAGCTCCAGTTGCTCGAACAAGTGTCAAATTTTAGTACTTAACCTCACTTTGTCAAAACGTAAACAAACAATTAAAAAGCCTTAAAACCGCTCAAATTTTTCTCAAGAATGCAATTCTAAGAGTGCGGAAGCGTGAAATAACCATGACTCTCAATTTGACCAAAGAAAATCGCATTTATAAGAAACTTTTTACTCTGAAGCCAGCTCAAAGAGACGGGTATTTCGCCCCTCACACACTGTAAAATCATTAATGATGAGTTGTTTTCAGCTTAATTCTTAACGTGCATCACACTGACAAAAACGCACAGAAGATTCGCTTCATAAACAGCTGTTTTGACAAAACTGGTCAAATTCTGGCACTGGCCGATAACGAGGGCAACATTTTTGTGGTCGATTTCACCAGTAGGAAATTCTGGAACATACCTAAATTCACAACCAGTTGTGTGATCGTGAAATTTTCACGTTTCAAAGAAAGTGAGATTCTCGTAGGGGCGCATAGTGGGGCTGTTTACGTGGTTGAGACCCAAACAGGCTCCGTTTGTGGTCAACTGAGGGGTCACGAGTCTCCTGTTAATTGCATTTCGTACGGGGATAACTTCCTGTGTCTCACGGGGTCCACAAGCGAGGCCATTTTATGGGACTTGAGGACCAACACCAAGTTGCAAGTGCTGAGTTTGCAACGCAATTGCTCGCTGAAATATGTACGAATTTTGCTTTCACAAATTGATTTTGATCAGTTTCAATTTCAGGTGTGTTTCATTCCTGTTTCGTGCAATATTTTGACTTGTTTCAACGACGATGTGATCCAGATCTGGCAATTTGGCTCTTTTGAGATGAAAACTGAAATACCCCCATTGGTGTGGTTCAACCACGAAGTGAAAAACGTCACTTTCACACAGTAATGGTAGAAGTTTTGTTAATTTTTTGTAATTTCTTTTTCAAGGGATGGTAAAGTAATGGTGATTGGTTGTCGTTCACCCCACCTCGCCCTTTTCCTCCTGACTAACTTCAAATTACTGAAATTTATTACCTTGCCCGAGCATATTCAGTCCCTGAAACACGTTGATTTTATCCCCCAACCCAACGATGGGGGTGCAAATAAAATTCTAGCAGTTTTATCAGGTCGTGGCACTGTTTTTTTCTACGACAGCGACCAGAATATTCTCATAAGTGAATTGGTGGCGAATTATGAGGTGTCAAAATACGATTTTGGTGGTAGTTACATGTCGTGTGTTTTATCCTCCGGTGACGTGAATATTTACGACGTGGTGCAATATGTCGTCGTACCAATTAAACTGAAGGCTGTGAGGGCCCAAAGTGCGGGAAAAAGTGTCAAATTGCGGCGATGTTTGGAGAAAATGGGTATTGTTAAGGAGCAGGTGAGCGACGCGGACCGCAGACTAAACGCATTTCACCGATTCAACTTCCAGATTAGGGAAATTCTCGAGTTGGAGAAACTGAGGATGATCCTGAAGGAATGTGGCGAGTATCCCGATTCCCACCGAACGAAAATCTGGGAACACCTATTGGTGCTTCCCAACAACAGGGATCTCTACAACGCCATCATCAACCACCGAATGATCATCTCTTTTGAGGATTTATGCCGCAAATACCCCCTTGAAAACAAGAGAAACCTCAAAAACCTCAAACAATTGCTCGACAATTTGGTCACGTGGTGTCCCTTCTTCCTCAATGTCGAATTTCTACCACTTTTCGTCTTCCCCTTTGTCAAGGTTTTTATCAACACACCGTTGACATGTTTCGAGGCCGTTTGCACGATTATTTGTAAGTTTTCGAGTTTGTCAGTTTTTGTAATTAAGTTGCAGTGAACTGGTGTCAATTTTGGTTCGAGTACTTCCCCCTGCCTCCGGTCAACGTCCTCGCGATGGTCGAAAACGTCCTAATGGTACACGACCCCGAACTTTTGGACTTTTTCACTAAGAAAAAAGTCTCGTCTGAATTGTACGCGTGGCCTATTTTGCGAACTGCCTTTTCCGAGGTGTTAACAGCGCCATCTTGGAAAATCTTCTGGGACCATATTTTGACAAACGAGCCTTCGTTTCTCCTGTGTGGAGTTGTCGCTTATAACATTTTACAAAGAACTTCAATTTTGAGTCTCCGAGATGATAAACACTTTAGATGTTTCTACAATACTCATCATCCGATCGATGTTAAGAAATTACTGGCGAAAAGTTACCACATTTTGGCCAACACGGGCGAAACCATGCATCCGCGCCAATATTTGAACATGTTCAAGAAAATCAATTTGGGGGAATACCCAAATTTCTGCGATTATCCCAAGACCATGATCGAGAAGGCGGAGAAAGAGGGCGAGATGAAGAGAGAGATGGCGAGTTTGAAAACCGACGAACTTGATTTGTTTCGTCGCCGATTGGTCAGTTTGGAACGGTTGCAAAATATCGAAGTGGAGGAAGAGGAGAATAAGCGAATTTTGGGTGAGTTTGTCCATTTTTGGGGTTTTATTTATTTTGTTGGTAGAAATGGAAAATGCCATTCGAAAACAACTGCTGGAGGAGCAGACCCGACTCCAGGAGTACTACGAAAGGGTGGCCAACCTGCGTGACAAATTCCGCGAAGAAGACAAGGTTTTGGCCTCGTTGAGAACCAAAATCGCCAAAGAGCAACAATTAAAAAGCCGCCGGAAGTACTTATCCTCGATTATGGACGATGTCAGATTCAGAAAAGGCGAGAAAGATTACACATTGACCAAAGTTGAGGATGAACTCCTCGTCCATTATTCCGAATTGTTGAAAAATAAGTACAGAATTGAGAAGTTGTTAAACTCGGAGGAAATAGCAACAAGCACTAAAATCCCAATTGATGAACAACAACAACAACTGTCGAGCGAAATTGATCGTGTCAGGAGGAGTGAAACGCCGCGAAAACATCTGAAAATGTTGAATCTGGCAACAGGGCTTGAAGCCATGGATGCGTTAATAGAAAAAGTTGAAAGTGAGTTGGAGAAACAAAAGAATGGAAGTGGAAGTGACAGTGATGCTGATAGACGAATTGTGGCGCTGCAAGCGGAGACTAGAGAGTTGGCCTCGAAAATTAACAATCTGATTGAGTTGCTTGCGGGTATGGAAGTGGGCGAATAGGGGGTTACAAGTACAAATTTAATTTTTTAAGTTGTACCGTTTTTATTTATTTTTATGTTTTATTTCTGATCTCGTATGCACCTGTGATATGTCTTTGAACGGCAATAGATTTATAAAATATTTTCTTATTTTATTTATTTCCCTGAATAAAATTCTTATGTGAAGGTATCTTAATATTATGAGGTATGGTGTAAATGCACCTTAATGAGAACTTCAAAACTGTCAAATGTCAACAAAAACTTAACCTCAATTTTCAAATTTTATACGACAAGATTTTAATCGTATTATTGTTGTTATCCACTTTTTTTAATTATTTGGGCCACAATCAAGCAAAATGAATCCTTTGACGTGAGTATTTATAAATTTCCCGGCAGTTTTGCAAAAATTCCTCCGATTTCAGGAATATGAAAAACGTGAAAAAACTGAGCGAACAGGAGCTTTATACTGGCAACAAGACGTCTTGGCACGACCAGTACAGAGACAGTGCTTGGGTCTTTATCGGTGGTTTACCATTTGACCTAACTGAGGGCGATATAATTTGCATTTTCTCACAGTAAGTTGTCTCAAACGTTGGTAACAGTAGCCCCAAAACTTCTACAGGTACGGCGAAGTCGTCAATTTAAACCTAATCAGAGACAAGGACTCTGGCAAGTCAAAAGGGTTCTGTTTCTTGTGCTATGAAGACCAGAGGTCCACCGACTTGGCCGTGGACAATTTCAACGGAATCAAAATCCTGAACAGGACGATTCGTGTGGACCACGTCAGCAACTACAAAGTACCAAAACAGGGCAAGAAGACCGACGCTGAGACGAAAAAACTGTACGAGGAGGGGTGCGCCCCCAAAGCCGTGCCTGTACAAGTCCCCATCAAGGCCCCAGTGAAGATCAAGAAAGATCCCGATGATTTTCGCGAAACCCTCTCTGATCAGATCAATTCGGAGATCAAGCTACCGGAGCGTTTGCCAATTTACACGATAAAAAAAGAAAAAGTTGACGAGGAGACGCCACCACCGACCCCTGTCACAAAAGAGAAAAAGGAGAAGAAGCACAAGAAGGAGAAAAAGAAGAAGAAGAAGAAGAAAAAGGCCAAGTCTGACGACAGTAGCGATTCAGATTCCGACAAGAAGAAGAAAAATAAGAAGAAAGACGAGTCAGGGTCTGATTATTCAGCCGAGGACAGTGTGTCAGAAGATGAGGATAAGAGGAAACGGTCTCGGAGCCCCAATAAGAAGAGTCGCTGATTTATTAACATCTATTTACAGCTCTGTGCTTCATGTCTTCATTATCAGTAAGATCATCTTCACTATCACTGACTTTACTTACGTATTTTTTTAAAATATGAGAAACATTCGCTAGACTATTATTTTCTAAGTAATATAGTGAGAAATGTGATACTCCCGTATTGATTATTCTAGCCCCTCCGAGACACTCACCGTCTTTTGATAAGACAGCGTATTGTCCAGGAGTGATAGCCCTTTTGTATTTATTCACTTTGATAATCAAGCCTTTGCTGGTTTGACACACTTGGCATTTGACCCAATACTTGGTGTGTTGGAACTTAAAATCGCACTCGAAAACGCCCCCATTTTGCAAGTCGGGGGGTTGTGAGTGGATCCAGTGGGGCTCACTTGTGAAAATTATGTTCGTGTAGAGGAGGGGATGTTTTGTACCCTTGGCCACATAAATAATATTCTTATCTACGTCTTTTCGTGCTACGAAGTAGGCACTTTCGTAGCTGGAGAGCCTCGCCCTTTGACCCAAAGTCCACTGGTGGACTCCATTGTGCTCCCCCATGACTCTCACGGTGTCAACATCAACGAAATCGCCTGGTTTGTCATCAATGTACTGAAAAAAAAAGTTTCAGTCATGGCTAACCAACCAATAACGATTGCGGTACTTCTCTGATAAAGTCCTGAAATTTCCGATTGCCGATAAAACAGATCCCCATACTTTCCTTCTTCCTTGCGATTTTCTCAAGTCCGTTTTCAGTTGCGATTTTTTTGACTTGTGGTTTCATCAAGTCGCCCAAGGGGAACATTGTGCGTTGCAGAGCCTCCTGATTGACTTGGCTCAGGAAGAAGGTTTGGTCTTTGAACCAATCAGCGGCGCTTAGGAGTCTCACCCCTGTTTTTTTTTTAATTGTAAATTGACACAATTGTGCAGTGATACGAACCCTTCTCCAGGTTGTAATGTTCGAGGAAAGCCCCGAAACTAGTCCGTGCGTAATGCCCCGTCGCAATGGCATCCGCCCCCAACTCGTTCACGGCAAATTTGTAAAAATAATTAAATTTAATATTGCGGTTGCAGAGAATGTCGGGGTTCGGCGTGTACCCAGACTCGTACTCTTTGATTAAGTTGCTGAAATTGAATATTGTACGATTTTTTGGCGGGGAATTTGATTATACCAAAACACTTCATTCCAGTAATGTTTGACAAAATTAACGTGGGTTAATTTAATGTCCAGTTTGGCGCATATAAGAGCGGCGTCTTTGTAGTCGGCGTCGGAGGAACAGTAGCCTTTTTCGTCCGCAATGTCCCAGTTTTGCATGAAAACACCCTGTATATCATAACCTAAAATTTTTGGTCGGGTTTATGAACATTTTTGGATGTGGTTCACCTCGCTTTTTGAGTAAAAGGGCTGCGACGGCGCTATCGACGCCCCCAGATACCCCAACCACCACCTTTCGGATGTTTAACATCGCTTTTTGGCCGTTTAAGGGGACATAACCTATAAAATTTGGACGAAGTCAGCGGTACCAAAACTGTCAATTTCAACTTGATCAGCGGTAACAATAGTATTTAAAAAATACACAAAAACCACAGATTAAACTACGTTTATTCAATTCTTAATTATAATGATTAATATGTTTATGTAATTAGTTGAAAGTAACTACATAAAACAATTATTTGTTTGAATTCATACGATTTAAGCTTGTTATCAGAAGTGACATAAGTGTTGTCATTCACAAAAGTGCTTGTAAAATTGCTGAATTTTCCTGAAAAATAACTCACAAGTTTTCAACGACTATTCCCATTGGAAAAGCCACCAAATCTAAGCATATTGGTACGCCAAAAATAAGTGCTTAAAGCGCCTCTAACCCAACTTTTTCTAGAGATGTTTAATGTGGTAATTTATTAATAAATATGGACAAGTTATCACCCGTCGACCCTCCAGTGTTTAATCTATTGTGCCTCCTTAGAGAGAAAGGGGGTTTGTTGAAAAGATCTGCCCGTCACGACCACCTTTTCAACTGCATGAAAAAAAACGCCCCCGAGTTGTACAAGTGTGAAAACTGCGAGTTTACTGCCTTCCTCAAAGTCAATTTGAAAATCCACAATGAGATGTTCCACCGATCAACTGGCAAAAACTTCACCTTTGAGAATTTCCTCTCAAGTGCAAACGAGAATTACAACATGGAAAACATATTGAAATTTCACCATTGTCTAGATTGCAATTTCGGCACTTATTCTCTGCTTTTATTCGCGCGACATCAATTCGACCACCACGAGCCCAAACCCAAGCCAAAAATGCCCCCAATCGAGTCGAAAATCACCCGAAAAACGCGCGCCCACATCAGTTACAGGGCTTTCAAAGGCACTAAATTATTCGAATGCGGCCAATGCGACGCCAAAACTAAGAGTGTATACTCTTTGATGAAACACATAGAAGTGTTGCATGGGTTTTCGGACGAACTTAAGATATTTACCTGCGAGAAATGCCCGTTTAAATCGCAATACGAGGGGGCTCTCAAGAACCACTTGAAACGACACGACGCGGAAAACAGCGACGAATGGTTCGAGTGCGATCAGTGCTCCTATAAAACCAAACACCAGAACTACCTTCATCGGCATGTGAAAGCGAATCATACAGACCCCAATAATAAAAAGTACTTTTGCGAACATTGTGACTACAAAGCYAAGATGAAATGCACTTTGAACGATCATATCATATCCAGGCACACMGCTCTGGAAAACATTAACTGGTTTTTGTGCGAATTGTGCGCCTATAAATGCAAGCATAAGCGGAATTTGATGCAACACAAGCGAGGGAAGCATAAATTAAACATTTAAGTTGTTTCAATGCATTTATTAAACAATTATATTATACTTTTGATGGTGATAGTTCTACGAGACATAAAATAAAAGAATTTAAATAAATTGTGATGTTTTTGTTTGAAAAATGCTGAATTCAAAATTGGCAACTGTCATTTTTATGACCCGCCAAATTTAAAAATGACATTTGGTTGTCTATTTTTGTGCTCGCTGTACAACGATGTTGTGAATTTCTCTCAAACCAATCAAATAATTATTCTACATTTTTGATTTTAATATTTTGCCGTGTTTTGGCTTGCTAGAAATAAAAAATGCAATATGGTGATTGGTGCTTTTCGGTTTCTAACGGTGGTAGTTGTGTAAATAACTGGAACATCGAAAATGTGTGCCACACAAAAAATAGAGGTCATCGTCCCATAGCAAGGTTTGTATTTTTTGCAAATAAAAGTAACAAAAATATTTATTTGTTCCATTTTACGATTTTGTAGGTATAATGGACACTAAACCTCCAACGCTTACCGTCCAACCATGTAACAATGTTGGAAAAAATTGAATTTTTCGATTGCCAAGAATCCACAATTTTTTCACAATATCAGTGCAAACTGTGCCCGTTTTTTTCCGATTTTTTAATCACTTTAAACTCACACGTTGAAAAAGTACATTCCATTGAGGGCCAGTCCTCTAAGGTTCGCTTTGAACTCCGCAAATGTACCAATTGTGGTTTTGAGACATTCTCCTGTTTGGTCTATTTAAGACATGTCAACAGTTGTAAAAACACAGAAATTAAGAGAATTCGCATCGGAGATTTAAACTGGTATAATTGCCCCCACTGTGGTTACAAATCCAAGTACAGAGGCTGCGTAAAAGCGCACATTGTCTTCCGACACACCTCCTTTGAGGAAACGAAATGGTTTGAGTGCACTTATTGTGTCTACAGGAGCAAAACAAAAGGCGATTTAAGGAAACACATCCAGAGAATTCACACTCGCCAAGGGATCGACAATAGGAAGAAATTTCAGTGCGAAAAATGCCCTTTCCAAACGAAAAGAAGAGCCTGTCTGAGGATGCACATGATAACGCAGCACACAAACTGTGATAAGAAGGAAATCAAGACGGAAGTGTTATATTACTGCACAGTCTGCGAATATAAAACGAAGCGTTCAGATAACTTGAAAACGCATGTCAGGGAGCAACATTCATCACCAGATGATATTAAATGGTTTGAGTGCGACCAGTGTGAATATAAAGCGAAAAGGGGGAACAGACTAAAACAGCACAAGTTGATGAAACACACGGATTTGGAGAGGATTCAGTGGTTTAAATGCGGGCATTGCGAATATAAGGGAAAATTAAAAGTGAACTTGAAGGCGCACATTTTGTTGCAGCATATTCATTTGAATTTGTAGCTTTTATACGTGTTGATACCCATAAGGGGTCACTTTTTATAACAAAATAATGTTACGAATTGTTGGGGATTGTACATAAAAATTTATATTAATAAATGGGTATTTTGAGGGTGTTGCTTTCAATTTTTTGCACTCGTTCTGTGCTGTTTTAACGTTATCTAAAAAAAATACAGAAAATTTTACAGATAAAAAAGTATGAAAAGTGGCTGTTATGGATGTAAAATTTGAAGTAGGTTTGATTAAAAAAATGCAGTTTTTTTAAATTTGGAGGTACTTTGTGACATATAATTATTTGTAAATGGTGCTACGAAATACTACTGTCTTATTTTTTTAATAAAAGCACAACTTTAATTTCTATATCCACACCGCTCAGAAATCATAATTTACGTGGCGGAGTGGGGGTTAAACAGCTGTCAAAAAGATTGTCAACGTGTGAAGGCTACATGGCAATAAGTGCGGTTATTTGAGTTTTCTTTTGATTTTCTAGTAATAATTGAGTGAAAAAATGTCCGGTCAATGGGAAGTGGTTGGTAAAAAGAAGGAAAAAGGAAGCAAGGATTTAAATCAGAAAGTTGTGAAGCAAATAAATAAAACCAAACCGGAGAATCACAATGTAAAAGTCGAGGATGTTTGTGAGTCACAAATGAGTACAAAAACAAATTGTTGTATTGCCCTGTTTTCAGTGGCAAAATCCCAAGTTAAGAACTTGTATTCCAATGGTAAAAATAAAGAAAACAAACCAGTTGAAGTGAAAAAAGACGGGGGGTCCAAAAAAACGAAAATTCAAGAGAAGACTCAGGAGGTGAAGCCAAAAGCTCCCAAATCTATTGAAAGTGCACTTAATTTGGTATTTTCACGTTTTATTTACTTTATTTTATAATTATGGTTATGCCCCCAGATCGATGTCGATGCATTTAAAAATGTGTTTGAAAAAAACAAATCGCAATTCCCCGACGCCCCCATTGTGTGGTTGAAGGAACTCTCGTGGTTTTTGAATCAGAAACTCAATGTTGAAGTCCATGATCCAGTCTTCGCAACGAAGCCCGAAAATTACCCATTGAAAATTGTGAGTGGAAAATTCGCTTGGTTTAATTAATTTAAATTTAGGTGCCCTCAGGAATTCTATCTGTGATTGAAAAAGTGACCCAAGTCGTGGATAAAAACAACCTTCAGGTGTTTTTCGACATCGCCTTAACATCAATGGCCACTGATATGAGTAAAAACTTGCCTGCGCTGGGTTACAAGTTGTTTTTGCAACACATCGCCTTAAAAGACCCTAAATTAGTCCGCGCCAATTTGGGAAAATACTGCGTTTTGCGAACGTCTTATCAAAATCGTCCAAATATCGGTTTATCAATTTTATGGGCGGTGGGGCAAGCTGGGATTAGGGATTTCCAAACGGGATTAGCTAGTGGGTTTTTTGAATCCGTGTCGTCCAAAAAACAACTAAATTGTTTCAGTTTTCCAGGATTTGATGTTACCGTTGATTGAACTGAAAAATTATTCACGATTTATTGTCCAATATTTGATTAAGTTGATTTCTGCCGTCGACGAAGCGGCGCTTAGCAAAGAACAGTTTGTTTCCATTCTTGATGTTGTATTTTCAAACAGGAAAAACTTTCCCAATGATCTTAAACAAGACCTCTTAACAGTTGTACCAACTTTGAAATCGTTTTTGTTTACAAATAAGAAGGAATCGAGTTGTGTTGATTTTTATTTAAAGAAAATACCAACTGCTGGAAATGATTCGTTTAAAGACTGTTTGTGCGACGTTGTAGTTGAGGGATTTAGCAGAGATCAGAGCAGTTTGGAGCACTGGTCTAAAATTTACAACAAGAACGTTGCCTCAAGTGCCATTCTTCTTAAATATATTGGTATGTGTTTTTTTTTTTAATACAATTTTAAAATTTTGATTTTTTTAGCTAAAAACTGGCAAACGCTTTCTCCTAAAATAAACAAGAAAGTGTTGTCACAAACGTTGAATCAAATTCTCATTGAAAGTAAAGAGTTGAGGACAAAGAAAAAGAAAGAAGAGGGATTGATTGAAGCCATTCACATTTCTGAGGTATTTTTACACATAAGTAAAAAAATGAATTTACTTTTTCCTCAGCGTGACAATTAAACCTACTCGAGAGTAAAACTTTCACCAGAATTCTTTTACAGTGACGTATTTGGAAACATTCACAAATGATTAAATTCATCATTATCATAAAAAGGTGGCCTTGATTTGAAGAGGACAAAAAAGGGACACCAAAGTCATTCTATACTTTTTTTTAATTAATGTGCATCAAGTAGGTTGTAGAAGTCTAAATGAATCTTTAATTTAAAGTCCGATTTACACAAAAAGTGTCATTAATGTTATTCAAAACAAATTTAATCACATCAATAATGACACAAATCTTTATGTTTGCTATCTTATGTTGATTACGTTGTTAATTTTAACCATTTTTTGCTACATGGGGTACACATTTATTTGAAAAAATAATTTTTGGGGAAGATTCAGTTTAGGATTGTTTGAATTTTCGCATAGTTGCCACCTTAAAATGATCTCTTTCAACGACCACTTCGTGCACATTATATGAAAATGAGTATATTGACTTTAAAAGTGTAAAGCGGTCCTTAGATAGTAGCCTTACTCGCGTTTTGACGTTTCGAAAAGTCAAATTTGACGTTAAAGCTTGCTTTACAGTGTATTTACAATGTTTCAAAAATCTGATGTCCAATTTTTTGTTCGGTTGTATTAACGGTTATCAAACTTTAAAGTAAAGATCGAATAATAAAAAAATCATTTGACCTTTATTGTACTTGTTTGTTAAATGTTTTAAGATATTATTCTTAAACTTCGACCCTTATTAAAAATACGTTTTTTTCAACGTCCAAAGCATCAAATATATCAATATCAAATAATGCATTGAGTGACGGTTTTATTGAACTTGCACCTTATCTTGTGAGCAAAGTTCTTTCAACGGATAATCGAGGTAATTGCCTTGCATACGAATGGAAACAAGTCAATTGATAATCTTTGTTATTTCTAAAAAATTCCATTCATTTATGGATTTAATTAATAATTTATTAATTAAATGCATTCTATCATGAATAAAAGCAGAGTGATGACGTTAACGGCTGTTTTAAGTTAATTATTCGCGTTTTTTTTTTGTGAAAGTTTTTAAAATTGGCGCGTTTTTGTCTCCCACTTTCGAGTGTTGGCAGCGTTGGCAGCAGCATTTGCGCGGTTGGCATTGATCATTGACAATTTGTGACAGCAATTTGGAATAATTGGAAGATTTTTTGGTGTTTTATTGGCGTTTTTACAGTTTTGGAAATAAAATTTTCGCGTACAGTGATCTTATTAAACTCGTTTCGCTTTGTCTAAATTTTTGTGTTATCGTGCCAACATAAATTCGATAAATTTAAAATAATTAAAAATACACAAATTGCTATTTTTCGAATAACCGGTGCTTGAAAGGTGACTATCTATTGTAAAAGGTATTTGAATAATTTATGTGTGGTAAAATTTAATTTCACAGCGAAAGTTACCTCAATTTTCGAAATTTCACAATTTTTTTTATTTCTTTTCAGGAATTATTGGGGAAAATGGCCAACAAGAAAGCTTCACGTTCGTGGTTTAGATTCCTGTTTTACACAACGACTTTGTTGCTTGCAATTTACATTTATGCTGACACCAAACAGGCCGGCAGTTGGCAAAGTATGTCACTATTAACCCCAATTTCTTGAATTTCTAACACATGTTTCAGAATCCAACACGAGGAAATTCTTGACTGAGACAGGCGTATGTGACTACACCCATAAAGTCGTGAGTAAAGTCCAAGACGGGTGGCTAGCAGTGGACAACCAAATCATGGAAAATTTCCCCACTTATCGCCAGGGGGTCATTGATTTCTCGCAACCCTACATTGAGTTTCTGAGGAGTTTTGGCCAAATCCTGTGCAACATGTGCACAAACATTAAAGAGATTATCATTGAGAAATATCCAGTGGTAGTGAAATCGGTACGATGAAGTCTTGCAAGATAACGTTGTCTAGATTGTTCAAATTGTTGCAGATTGACTCATACGCTCCTGGTGTCGTGGAGCAGTCTCAAAACGCAGTCACTACGGCGTGGTCAAGCTCTGTGTTTTATGTCAGCAGGAGCATTGATTATTTGCGCACCGAGGTTTTTGTGTAAGTGATTTGTTTTTCTTTGACATGAGTTTAAAAAAATGCAATTACAGGGGCCAGTTATCCCCCGCGAATATGCAAAGGGTGGTGTATGAAGCCTTCAACACGACTCAAACCAAGGCGACTGAATACTACCACTGGTTGTATGAAAAGGTCCAAAATACGATCAAATAAGGGCTGTGAGGGTGTCTGCGAACTAGGTTATGGTTATTTTTATGTACTTTTTTATCCCATTATATTTATTTTACAAAAACATTCCTCATACAGGAATGATTGTTACAGTGGTGTGTTGATTGCATCAGGAAAGAAAAATTTGAGTGTATTTTCGTAAATGAGTTTAGATAAAGTGTCAGGGTTTTCTTTTTTAACCACAGCAATAACGTCGAGAACTTGTCTGAAATTGACTCGTTAAAAAATGGATAATTGAGTAAGCAGTTACCTTATGTTACACGGTTCATTCCGACCCTTAACCAAACAGTCGATTTTCCACTTTTCTTTTTTGACGCTGTTTGTTACTAAATTTTCTTTGGAAATAAAGGAATATCCAGCATGGGTGGGTCTTATTTCACACCAAGGGCAGTCGGTTTCAATCAGGATTTTGTCACTGGGGAGCAGTGAAACAGTCTCGAGGTTTTCCTTCGTTTTCAGAGAACTGATTAAGTTTAGTTTGGAATTTAACGAATTCGAAATTTTTACCATCCATTTAAGCCTATGAAGAAATTCATGTCAAGGAAACGCCGGGCTTCGCCAATCGTGCCATCAAAGGAGTGGACGACCCCCCGCAAGTTCGGGTACTTCCCCAGAATTTCAGCCAAGTCTTCAGCGGCGTTCCGGCAGTGAAGAAACAAAGGCAGGTTTGAGGTTTTAGTCAAGTCGAGTTGCATTTCAAAGAATCTGAAATGTGAAAAAAATGGAACACAGCCGGGTTTTGAGTGAAAATTACTTTTTTTGCACGTCTTTGGGGCAGAATTGGAGTCGGTCATAGTCCAAACCACATTCGCCAATAGCTACGACTTTTTTACCCCCATTTTCAATCGTTTGTCTCAATTGAGTCAAGTAGTGTGAAGGGTCGGCTTCAAACTCGAGACATCTAGTCGGGTGGACCCCAACTGTGGTGAATAACCGCTCTGGAACGATAAAATTAAAACACGAAGTAAATTTCGCTTAAATACCGTCAGTTTCGGCTATTTTTAATGCCTTCTGACTCTCCTCCAAGTTCCCCCCAGTAATGATGATTTTTTCTAAACCAGCGTCCCAACTTCGCTTCAAAACTTGCTCTAAATCTGCTGAGTGCTTTGTAGCCCCATTATAGACCCCTGAATACATGAGATCCGTCAAATTAGCCCCAATATCTTCAAAACAAAATTATATTTCTCCCAATTGCGATTTAAAATAATCACTTACCAATAAATTTACGTACTTTAGTCATTTTTAATGTTCCCTTCGTCGCGTTTCTAACCTCAAAAGTGCAGAACTCGTTAAAAATCTGGCGCCAAAAAATCCCAATTTTGATTTTAAATGATACGCAGAAGGAAATTATCATGTATTAGTATCACAATAATTGTAATATTTATGTTTTCAACGTATTATTTACTAACAAGGTTAACATCCACCGAAAGTGAGGTTAGGAGTGTCCACGAACAAATTTATTTTCACCTTGAAAATTTACCAGATTTGTATAAAACGCGTAAACCGTTCGAAAACGACGCAATTGATAAGTTTATAAAAAATGTGAATGTTGTAAGAAGCGAGGAAGTCGCAAAAGTATGGGAAATTGCAAATTCGTGGGTCTCCAGTACCAAACTGGTGGACTTGGAAAGCCCCCTTTTGGGCACTGTATTGTCGGATTTGAAAACAGCGAAAATAATTAAAGCCGATTTGTATTCCAAAGGGACGCAATTGAAACTTTTATTGACTTTAGAAGTGAGTTAAAAAAATAGTTTATTTTTTATACTGTGAAAATTGTTTAAGGGCAACCAAAACGTAGTGTTTAAACCGAAATGGTACGATAAGCGGCGCATCATCGAGGGGCCCGTCTATGCAGGGAAAGACAGACACAGTAGTGAAATTGTGGCATTTTATTTATCAGCTCTCTTAAATCTTCCACTAACGCCTTGTAGTGTGGAGCGCACGTTGTCTTTTTCTCATGATATTGCCCCCGTGGCCACTAAACGTCTCCTCAACACTAGTTTTGAAATTAACAACAGGACGTGCATTTTTGGGAAATGTTTGTACTGCAGGAGGGAAGAGCCGGTTTGTGATGACGAGAATTTTTCTGTAACTGGGGCTGTGATTTTTAACGTAAATGAGCCTTTGAAGAGCTACAGGTCACCGTGGCAAAGGACCTACAAGAAGAACAAGAAAGCAATCTGGGAAGAAGAAGATAACTATTGCAAGTTTGTATTGCAACTTGTTGCTGACTAAATTTTTAGTTTAATTTTTAAGATTCGTGAAGGAAAAATTAACGAAACGAAGAATATTAGATTTGGTTGATGCTTCAATTTTTGATTTTTTGATACAGAATGGCGATAGGCACAATTACGAAACACTGCATGAAAATGTTGTTTTAATAGACAATGGGAAAGGTTTTGGGAACCCTAACATATCACATTTGGACATTTTAGCCCCTTTATATCAATGCTGCATGTACTTGGAATCTGTTGTGACTTTAACGTTGTAAAATGATGCATTTTAGGCTCAGAAGTGCGACTTTGAAGAAACTGTTGAATCTGGCTGGGGGTCATTTGAGAAAAAAAATTGAACTCATGCCTGATATACACCAGTTGCTAATTAGTGACCATCTCAAGGCTGTGGAGGAACGACTGATGATCGTTTTTGCTACTATTGAATATTGTAAAAATCACGCCAAAGTTGAATAAAAAATGGACCTCTCATTTGTTATTTCAATTTTACCGCCAAAAAACATGTTCAATGTGCAGTAGTACCAACATTGACTAATATCTGGTAAAAAACAAAATGTAAATTGACAAGTTAATTATAAAAACTAGTGTTTTATTCATTTTTGTAATTCTAATTATTTGTCTCTGTGATAAATAAATAATTGGAAAATAACAATTTTCTCTCGTTTTTTAATCAGCGCATGCACAATACGTAGTGCTTTTCGTGTTGTGAGGTTGGCATTGTCCGTCACTGTCAGTTCCCATGTGCCTCTGGTTTTTCGAAAATACAAAAAAGTTTGAAATGTGGAAAAAACTGTCATTTATCTTCAACAGAAACAACCCCTTCCAGAGGAGGTGTTTGTTCTGTGTTCAATTTGGTTATGGTCAGCAGCTCCGAGTGAATAATTCAAAAATCATAACCCTACAAACAAAAAAATGGTTAAGTTTATTATCTAACTACAGATTTTCAAAATTGGTCAAGTCAAGTAAGTTACAAAAATCTCAACCGTTTAACACGAATTCAACCAGTGCGTTGATTTCCCATGAGAGAAATGGCAATTCGTCTCTTGTCCGCTTTTTAAGGAACGAAAGAACGGCAAACTTCGTAATGGAATCTTCGGAGACTCAGAAACACAATAATTCTGACTCTGAGGCCTACAAAAAGAACTTGTTTAAACGAAGACCACCAACGGCAGTTTTGAAAAAATCCTCTGTGAAGTTGCGTCTACCAGCAGTAAAGAAGACTTGTGCGAAATTAAGCCAATCGAGACAATATTCAACGAGCGTTGATAAGGATGTGTCTGAGAAGCCTGCGACGACTGATAGAATCAACACTTCTCCCAAAAATGTTCTTAACAATATTTTCGCCGTTGTTGCCCAACATTTCAACAACAGAGACCTCAAACTACAACCAAGTTACAACATAATTAAAGAAAAAAATAGGATCATTTCTTGGTGTTGCACTTACAACACCAAGTGGCCGGAACCAATGAAATTCGTCTCAACTGGCCAAACTAAACAAGAAGCGTCTCACAAAGCCGCCCTTGCTGCCTTACTTTGGCTGAGAAAGTTGGAAAAAATCACCCCAGATGGACATCCTATCATAATGGACAAACATGAAGTGTTGGATATCAACAGACGGTCACTTCCTACTGTTACTTTAGACCAGAACACAACAAATAACCTGAAAAATGTATCAGAGATTTACTCAAACGAATTTGTGCCACTTTTACAACAAAATATCGACAAGAAGACCAGACCTGCCCTCGAAATGAATGAGATTAATAGTTTGAGTGATGTCAATGGGAATTTGAGACAGAAAGTGTTTTCAGTTTCGAAATATTTGGCCAAGGAGAAAGTGAATTTACCGATTTCTGAATACAAGTAATTGATTTCGCATTAATTTAGGTGTTGTTTATTTATCGTGTTGTTTCAGGAAGCAATTCATAAATTTACTGAAAGAAAATCAAATTATTATTGTGAAAGGAGAACCGGGATGTGGGAAAAGTACCCGAATTCCTCAATATGTCCTGGAATCGTGGGCTTCAGATGGTTTGGGTAAGGGAGAACCTTGTCGGATTGCAGTCACACAACCTAGGCGAATTGCTGCGATTTCATTGGCTGATCGAGTTTCAGACGAGAGGAATGAAAGGGTAAGTGATGAGGTTGTTTTTCAGTCTTAAAGTTTTATGTTAATAATAGTAATACCTAACAAAAAATATTTTATAAAAACCATGAATTTATTAGGATATTGATTGGTTTTAGAACTTTAATAAAATATGTTAATAGCTATGGTTTCATTTACTATTTATTAAGCTAAAAGAAAAATTAATTCTGTAGTTCTGTTTCTCATAATTTGTCATAATTAACTGTTTATTCTGAATACTATAATTGATAATTATTAAGTAAAATTAAACATACATTCCGAATTCTTGAAAACAGAAAAAATATTCTTAGAATTGCTTATGCTATGCCAAAAAATTAACAATTCGTCATGAAGTCAAAATTATATTGACGCACAAGAGAATCACATTTTGATTTTGCAACTTTGTCGAGTTTGTCTACTTTGTCTTCGCTTCCAAGTTCTAGTGATTTTAATTTTTCTTGTGTGGCTTTACAGAAGTTATAAATTTCTATGTACGACGAGCCTAAGTGCTTTTTGTCTAAATTATATTTTACACTTTCGCAGTAATTAAAGAGAGCTTGTTTCGTTAGCGCGAATTTTTCAAATCGTTTGTCTTCTTCAGCTTGGTTTTTAACTTCTTTTAAAATGTTTTTTACTTCACTGTCACTTCTGCCGCCTCTTGTGTATAATAATTTCAAATCCTTTTCGTTATTGCGTAATTTTTCTTTCGCTTTTAATGTAAGAATGCCATTTTGATCAACGCTCATTGTCAGTTGTACTTCACATTGTCT